TGCACACACACACACACACACACACACACACACAATCCCCAACACCCTCACGTAGTCGGGCTCTGCTCAGCATCACTCTGGAGTGTGTTCGAGAGCTCCCCCACTGTCCTTTGGCCTCTTTTAGACGGGGTGCACCTTGCTTCAACTAGCTCTACGGCCCGTCTGGATGAACTTGCAACAAATTATTGTGGGTGGGGACCATCTTACCTGCCCGGAACAGAATATAAAATGTGCATGGCAGGAGCTTGGAACCAGCCTTCCTGTCTTTATGCTGACACCCTCACATAGGAGAATTCGTAAGACAGATGCAAAGAAACCATTGTGGTCAATGTCCATCGGACACTGTACCAGACCACAATCCCTACCTCACACCACGGCAGGAGGTGGCAGGAGGTGGGTGCCAAACCATTGCTGTCCTTTCCCTTGGCATGAACCCCCTCAGTATCCCCTGCCGCCCCTACAGGCCCCTCATGGGAACAGGCAGGATATCAGTAAGTATGTACATTGCTGCCTGGTCTTGAGGCCCTGCCCCCTGCTCCTTCTCCTCGCCCCAGTGCCCCTCACCCGGGCGCTCACCTGCTTGGGTGGGTGGCAGAAAATCCCCCAGGAAGAGGGCAGCCAGAAGCAGCAGCATCGTGGGGGTCATGCTTTGGAAAGCTCCGGAGAAGGGAACTCGGTTGCTGTATGTTCTGCTCCAGGGATGTACCAGGGAGGATAGCTAGCTAGGGTGTGGAGGTGACCTATTTAACCTCACTGGGGGCTCTAGCCCCGCCTCCCGCTCCCTCCACACATCCATCCTGGGACCCGTCCAGTTCAAAGAACTGGAGATGCTTCTGCGGAAGTCTAGACTTGGAATGTCTGCGGCTTTCCTGAGAATGGGATAGACTGGGGACAGAGGTGGGGTGCGTTTGTCCGGGGCCCACCGCCGGGAGATACTTCTCCTTTCAGAGAGGACAGTTCTTGGTTCCTCTATGAGCAGAACGGAAAAATCTCCGTCCTCCACTGGACTCATCTTTCTGTCTGAGGCTGGTGAGCTTCCGCCATGGGCGGGACCCTGGCCGGGGAGGATGGGGGTGGAGGGACCTGGGGGGTAAGACAGGACCGGGCTGCTCACCATGGGCCCTGGATGAGCACACGGTGCTAGCATTCCACTGGGCTTGGACTCACAGGCGTGCGCCTCTCTGTGGACCAGACAAAGCCCAAAGCATCTTTGGTTGTGTCCCTTGGCCACGGAAGGTCCGGGTCGTTTGGGAGTTCTGGGCCATGTCAGACTAGGGGTCTGCTTCTATGGAGTGGGGTGAGTCGCTGGGTGGTACAGCTGGTGTGGGCTCAGCTGCTGGACCTTGGCAGCTTGAGTCTGCCCCAAGTGCCTTGGAAGACAGGCCTGACCATCTGCTTCTCCAAGCCAGCCACTTGTGAGCTCAGAAAGCCCTTCAGAACACCATTCTACCTGCCACCCGTGGGGTCAGCCTGCGTCAGGGCTGAATGAGGGTCACTTGGTCCATTCTGGTCTCGCAGGACAGATGGGGGGATGGGGAGAGTCAGGCACCTACCTCCTTACACACTTGACACTGGACCAGTCCAGTGGCTGCCAGGGAAAAGGGCCCATCATCTCTACAGGCTTCCCCCAGAGCCAGGGCATGGGTACCCCTCAAATCAGGGAGTTCCCTGCCATCCTCAGGAGCTCCAGGCAGGGTCTGGACCTGGATTCTTACAGATGGGCCCAACTCCACCCTGTCCCCCACCCCTGCCCCTGTTCCCCTCCCCCACAATGTGTCAGTGCTCTGCCTCCATCTCTGAATCATCACACAGCCTAACACCAAAGTTTTACCTTGGTGTCTTGGTTTTCAGATCTGTTGCTGGGGTTATTTGGGGCACGGATTCAGAAAGTTACATTGGATTGACCACATCTGCTCTAGTTTCTTAGATGTGGTGTTGCACTATATCTTCAGCTATTAAGCTTTACTAATTTATTATCCCAGTTTTAAATCTAAGAAGAATTCGGACCCATGGCTTACATAAGACCAAAAAGAGGGCGGGGATAAGAAATATTTGGAAAATAATTTGTTATGAGAGACTGCCAAGGGAAGCTGTCCATGGACCATGGTGGCCCGTGGCTATGCTTTGAGCTGCCATCAAAAGGTCAGTGGCCAAAAAAAAAAAAAAAGATCAGTGGCTCAAATCCGCCCCCCACTCCCTGCCCCCATCACTGCAGTCTTTCAACGAGTTAAAGGTTTGGAAACCCCAAGGGGCAGTTCTTCTCTTTGCTCTAGGGTCTCTGTGAGTTAGAGCTGATTAGATGGCGCGGGGGTGGGGGGTTCTTTTTGGTCTGGGAGGCTGTGCAGTCGATACAGAGGCTACAAGCTGGATATGCAAGGTGAGGCCACCGCTGGAGAAGAGTGGAAAGTGGAAAAGAAGACCGGGAGGGCATGGACATGGAAGGGGTCGGTGCAATTTAAAGTGTCAAAAATGGGGGCCTTCCGAGCAAGAGCCATCCGTATTTTGAAGATCTAAGTTGTTCCTCTTCAAATTATGCGGTAACAGCCCAGAACACACTTCACTGTCTAGAAGTCCGAGGGTGATTCATGTTCGATGTGTCCGAGGTGAGGCTGGCGTCACGCTTCTTCCGAAGCAATGGTCTCTCTTCTTCTCCGGGTTTCTGTGCACGGGGAGGACTTGGGCCCTCTTACAGCAGGACTGGGGCGTCTTGATCTTAAGAAAGGAGTCTGAACGCTGACAGACCCGTTTCGAGTTGTGGAACATTTAAGTCTCAATCTACCCATTACCAGTCAGTGGATTACGGCTCCCAGCGCCCCACAGGACAGAGGGGAACTGCCCCTGTGGGGTTCGGAGCCTGCACATCTGGACAGGAGCACTTTTCTTTTGCAGTGCAGCCGCGGGGCTCAAGTGGCTTATCTGTGGGGAGCAGACAAACTCACAGCCCACTCAGGGCTCCTTATTTATTGTCCAGTCACTTGTATGGCTGCCCCTCCTTAAGGTAACACATGGGAACTGCTACTCCGTTCCTGATGAAGTGATAAAAGCAGGGCATCTCACTGCCACGGACTCAATTCTGATGCATGGTGACCCCATAGGACGGGTAGAGCTGCCCCTGTAGTTACGGGCATAGCACACCTCGCCTTTCCCCTGTGGAGCAGCTGATGGTTTTGAACTGCTAACCTTGTGGTAACCACTACACCACCAGGGCTCCTGGGTGAGGTGACACCTGGGGGAAATTCCCAGGTCTCGCCACCCTCACTGTTCAAATAAATATAGCTTTGGATCAAAGGACACCCCGTGAAGTGTCACTTGGCTGAAATACTCCCTACAACACAAACTTCTTTAAATAAAGCCAGTGTGTACTTCCTCTGCCTCGGGCTAGCTGACACAACACGAAAATACCCTGGTCTTTATGGTGAGGGGTGGGAAAGGCATATGTTCTGAATCTCAAAATCTAGAGCCGGTGTGTGTGTGTGTGTGTGTGGGGGGGGGAATGGGTGCCATATTTGGAACCAGCAGGTCAAACAGACCCAGAAACAAGCCTGACGTCTGAGGCACCCAAAGGTGTGTTGGCCTGTGTTCTTGAACCCTCAGCTG